GATGCACCCTCTCCACCCAACTCCTGCTTTTATAGACTTTTATCCTATCCCCCCTCAGTCTCCTCTTTTCTAAACTGAAAAGTCCCAGTCTCTTTAGCCTCTCTTCATATGGGACCTGTTCTAAACCTCTGATCATTTTAGTTGCCCTCCCCTCTCCCACCCTCTCTCTTCCCCTCTCCCACCTCCTTTTCCCAGTCTCCCCGAGTTTTGTTCAATAAAGAGAGATTCTATTTTGACCACACGTTTTCTTTATTTTGTACATCAGGAAGGGGGGCTAGGGAAGGGTAAGTGGAAGGAGGTGAGGGAGGAATGGGGTACGAGCCCCCGACGGGGAGGACTGGGCTGGCTCTGCGGGCTTCTGGGGGTGGAAGCTCTCCTGCAGCCCCCCAATTGCCCCATCTCCCCAGATGGCAGCCTGCGGCAAGTGCAGCTGGACTGATGGCCGAGTGCTGTGATGTGCCCAGTGTGGGCACTCAGGGCACTCCAAGTCAGGACTGCTTTGCAAGCGGGGCACCCCTGAGAACTGTCTGTCTGGGGTGGAGGTTGGGTCCCTTTAAGCACAACCCTCGGCTAGCCTGAGACAGCAGCTCCACGCTCTAAGTCCTCATCTGATGCCCTGCCGGCACTGCTTCTGGCCATCCTTAACCCCGGTTCAGGGTCCACTTAATGTGGATATGCTAGTTCGAATTAGCAAAACGCTAATTCGAACTAGTTTTTTAGTCTGGATGCGTTAGTTCGAATTAGCGTAGTTCGAATTAACTAATTCGAACTAAGTTAGTTCGAATTAGCGCTGTAGTGTAGACATACCCTTAGGGAAAAAGGGTACTGCAACTTCTTGAGATTAAGAGGGGAAAAACTGTGGCTGCAGCTGCTTCTGACTATGTCAGCCCACTTGAAGAATATGAGAGACTCTGATGTGCTTCTTTAATTTCTTTGTAACAATTTATTTCTGTATTTAAAACCCAAACATTAAAAGTAAGTATCAAGTAGTAAGCACTAAGATCAATCCTCCATGTTTAGTAGAAACCACATAATCTGTCAACTAGAGGGAACCTTCATAAAGGAATCTGTGTCAACACTCCCTTCCTGAAACACCCTGTAGCCTCTCATGTACTTCTGGAAATTGGGAACAGCAAGGAGCAGCTTCAGCAGCAAGGTGCACATGTTTGCATTACATCAGCCTATCTGCCTTTTAATCTCCTCCTTCCTTGCCAGCATGAGACATGACTCTCAATTTGAAAGATGCCCATGCGGGATGCCTACCAGTGTGATGGTTGCCATCTTGGCAACACCAGAGGTTGAACCAATTACCTTTATACTTAAAAGAATAAGTCTATATTGCTTACTAAAGAGTCAGGTTCCCAAGCTGAGAGTTTGGAGTAAATTATGGTTTTTTTTCACTGTGGATAATATATTCCATAATGTACCTATCCCATTTGCAAAGGATAAGCAAAGGGGTAGCAGCCTAGCATTTGAAGGTGGAAGATTTCTCAGTGTTAGCAATTAAGATTAATTTCAAGAATTAGTTCAGGATTACCATGAGAGAGGAAATAGGGGCAAGAGTGTGAAAAGCAGGGAATGAAAGTAAAAATTAAGTCAAACTTCAATATATTGTCTTCAATTAGGTGACCTGGCTACTCCGGTGGAAATTCCTATTTGTATTTTACAGGGCAATTATCCTGTTTAATTTAGGCTATA